TGCTATTTATTAGAGAAATTGCTCTATAATTTTTTTTTCTCTATTTTGGTTTAGGTATAAGGATCATATTTGTGTATGGAAGGATTTTTTCTTTTCTTGTTTTGCAAATAGTTTATGTAATATTATAATCAATTGTTCTTTGCATGTTGAATGGAATTAATTTGGATATCTATCTGGTACTGGGTTTACTTTGAGAGTTTCTAGTTTATTCTGATTTCTTTTTCTGAGGTTATTTAAATTCTCAATTTCTTGTTCTTTTAACCTGGGCATTTTACAATTTGGTAAATTTGCATCCATTTAATTTAAATGATCAATTTTGTTAGAATATATTTGACCAAAAAAGTTTCTAATAATTTCCTTATTTCTTTATTTGTTGTTAATTCTCCTTTTTTCCTATTAGCAAATTAGATTTTCCTCTCTTTTAAAAAATCAGATTAGCTATTTACTTGAGAAAGTTTTTCCCCCACAAAAGCTACTTTTATTTATCAATGCAGTGGGGTTTTTAAAAAACTTTTAATTTGTTCATCTCTTCTTAGATTTTTCTGAATTCCCATTTTTATGTTTACCTTTTTTATTTGTTGCTTTTCTAGTTTTTTTTTTTAAGTTGCAAGTCCAATTTACTGTTCAGATTTTTGTTGTCTCGTTATTTTCTTTGGTAATATTATGTATTGTTTCTGTAACTTCTTCTATGACTTACCAATTCTTTTTTTTTTTTTTTGCAAGGCAATGGGGTGAAGTGACTTGCCCAGGGTCACACAGCTAGTAAGTGTCAAGTGTCTGAGGCAAGATTTGAACTCAGGTTTTCCTGAATCCAGGGCTGGTGCTCTATCCACTGCACCATCTAGCTGCCCCCTCATCAATTCTTTAGAATTAAATTATTTATTTTCCATTCGAGTTTGAATTCTTGCTTCAAAGGTCCTTTATCGATTATAATTTTTATTATATTTTCAGTAAAGGATGTCTAATTTTTCTGCTTTTCTGCATTTGTTTGTGAGATTCACAATCAATTTTTGTAAAAGTACCTGGCATAGTTAAGAAATATGTATACACCTTTCTATTCCCATTCACCATCAGCAGAGATCTCTCACATCTAATTTTTCTAAAATTCTATTCAGGACCTTTTCTTCTTTCTTATTTGTCTTTTTTTCCATCACATTTGTCTATATCTGAAAGGAGTATCTTGAGGTCCCCAACTATTATCATTTTAGTGTCTTATTTCCCCCTGTAATTATGTTAACTTTTCCATTAAGAACATAGATGCTATGCCATTTAAAACACATATATTAAGTATTAATGTTATTTTATTGTCTGTGGTGCCTTGAAGCATTTTGTAATTTTCCTGTTTATATCATTTAATCATACCTGTTTTTACTGTTACTTTGATTGAGATCATGATTGCTATCCCTGCTTTTTTTTGAGTTTGCTTAAAGCATGATAAATTCTCCAATCTCTTGTTTTAATTCTGTGTGGATCTTTATGTTTAAAGTGTGTTTCTTGTCTTGCATTATCTTTTTTTTTTTTTTTTTGCAAAGCAATTAGGGTTAAGTGACTTGCCCAGAGTCACACAGCTAGTAAGTGTTACATGTCTGAGGCTGGATTTGAATTCAGGTCCTCCTGACTCCAGGGCTGGTGCTCTATCCACTCTGCCACCTAGCTGCCCCACAAGGTGGGATTGCATTATCTTTTTTTTTTTAAGTGTGTTTTTTGTTGACAACCTATTGTTGGATTCTGCTCTTTAATCCATTTTGCTATTCTTTTCAGTTTTATACATGAGCTCAACCCTTTCATGTTCACGGTTTTGATGATTAATTATGTATTTCCTTTCATCACATCTTATAAATTTTTCCTGCCTTCGCCTCCTACTTCTCCTCTCTTTACAAAGAAGGAAGTAAAAGAGAAGAAATGTGATCAACCCTAGTGACATAATTTAAAGTGATTTGCTTCCATTTCATGCTTCTCCCCACCCAGACCTGGATCACCAGTCCTTGCCTTTTCTTTCTTCATGAGCGGAAGTTTGTTTGGTTTGTGACTGGTCTGACACCTACTCTCTCCTGTCCCTCTTTAACTTCCTGACTGCTGTACATGCTACTTCCCCCTTGCCCATCTTGGCTTCTTCCCAGAAGCACCATTAACAGGGAAACATATTTGATTCTTACACGTTACATCATTTAAAAAATGTTTTATTGTTGTCGTAAAAAGCTGCTTGTAGAAGTTTTATATGGGGATAGGGAAATAATTTTGTATTGTATGTATGTGTGTGTAATATATAACTGTTTTATATTGTATTTTCTATTATTTTATTATATTATGTATTTATATTTTGTATTCTATTTTATAAAAGAAAGGCAATAAGGCTTAGTGTATAATAGTACCGGACTTGGAGTCAGGAAGACCTGACTTCAAACCCTACACTAGCTGGGTGATGCTGGGTAAGTCATTTAATTTCATTCAGCCTCAGTTTCCTCCTTTATAAAATGGGGATAATAATCCTTATAATACCTACCTCACAGGCTGGTTTGTATTGCCCAAATGAGATCATTTAAAGTGTTTTGCAAACTTTAAAGCACGAAGTAAATATAAGCTGAGGTAGAGTGATGTGACACTGGAGTTAGGTAGAACTGAGTTCAAGCCCTGCTTCTGACATATACTGGCTAAGTGACTACGGGCAATTCATATAACCTCTCCGTGTACTCTAATAACCCTCTAAGATTATAATTTACAAACCAATCTAGTCACAGGTCTGGACCCCTCTTCCTCTTACCTTCCATTCAAAACAAACAAAACACTCGAAAAACTCTTATCATGGGTATTATGGAGTGTGAAACTGAATTTATGGTTTGTGGTTAATGAACGGTCTTTCAGGCAGACAGAAATTATGAACTAGCTAATTCTAGGGGCCATTCATCCAATTGCAAATCATAGTTTGGATAATACATATTCTTTATCTACTTGATTTGTCCTGTATGGAAAAAAAATTGGGTCAGGTATACGGGCATGACTTTAGAGATTATAGCTATAGAGTTACTTATAATGTCTGTGCAAGAACAGCCCCAAAGTTCAAGAAAGGAAGAATCTCTGGGGTGAAAGGAAGTGCCTACTTCATCTTCGGGACCTGGGAAGAACTTTGAGGACCTGAATAATTACTGCAGAGCGGACATGCCTAACACTCTTACATGGCAAGGAGGGCAAGTATTATTACCATTTTACATATGAGGAAATGGAAGCTGAGAGGTTAAGTGATTTGTCCATGGTCACCCAGGTAGTAATTGTCAGAGCCAGGACTTCCCAGCCAGATATTTAATAGGTTGTCACGTAGAAAAGACTTACTCTGTTTGGCCTCCAAGAAGGCTTAACTGGGGGCAATGTTTGGAGGCTGCAGAGAGGTAGATTTAGGTCATATGTAAAGAAAAAAAAAAAGACTTCATAACGATTACTGCCAAGTATTCAGACTCTACAGCAGAGAGGGAGACTGATGGGCTGGCCATGTTTTTCGAATGCCAAATGTTTGCCTAAAAGACTATTTTACAGAGAACACACACACAAGGCAAGCGCTCATGCTGGAGGTCAGAAGAAGCGATACAAGGACACTCTCAAGGTCTCTCTGAAGAACTTTGGAATTGATTACGAGACATGGGAGACATTGGTATAGGACTGTTCAGCGTGGCATGATCCCATCAAAGAAGGTGCTGTGCTCTGTGAGCAAAGCAGAATTGTAGTAGCTCAAAAGAAACGTGCAATGCCCAAATTTAGAGCCATCTCCACTCTAAATGTTCACATGGACTATTGGTGTCCAACCTGTGGTAGAGCCTGCTGAGCTTGCATTGGTCTGACCAGCCACAGTTGGACACACTGTATCTTGACCTTGGACACATCACTTATCTTTTTGGGGAATTGGCTTCCTTATCTGTAAAATGAAGGGGTTTGACTATATGCTTCTTGGGTTCCTCCCAGTTTTACATGTCTTCATGAAAACTGAAATCATTGACCCACCCTAGGCCTTGTTCCAGGGGTGGGGAACCTGCAGCCTCGAGGCCACATGTGGCCTTCTAGGTCCTTGGGTGTGGCCCTTTGACTGAGTTCAAGTTTTACAGAACAAATCCTTTTATTAAGGGGATTTGCTCTGTGAAGTTTGGATTCAAGGCTCATTCATTTAACTCGTTCATTCACTCATTCATTCATAGTGATTCTTTCCAACAGCATTCATGTATGGGTTCTGGGGTCTGAAGGCAGGCTGATATTCTTTATGGTATGGGCTGGCAGGTCCTTTCTCCCTCTCCTTCTTCTGGACTTGTCCCATTCCTTGTTTGCAGTGTAAATAACCCCACGACCTCATCCCAATACTTACTTCAGGTCAGTGGCTCTGAAGTACCAGCTCATGAAGGGGCAGTATGTGTGTAGGGAAGAGGTCACTGGATTGGGAATCACAAGAGCTGGGCTCAAGTCTGGCCTCTGCTGCTTACTCGTCCTGCCAGTTGACCTCTCTGAGGCTCAGTTTCCTTATATGCAAAAAGATAGGATTGGACTAGAAGACCCTTTCTACCTCTCATGGTTTGTTTTTGTCTTTGTTTCTCCAGAATTTAATGCAATGACTTGTACATAGTGGGTGGTTAATAAACGGTGGTTTAATTAATGATTGAGGCTCAGATTCTTAGAATCTAGCCAATAGCTCACTAATGTTCAGACTTCTTAAGAGTCTGCCCAGTATGACGGATGTTCTCATAAACCTTGTCTTTGACTGAAAAAAATAATTAATGATTGAATTTTCAGATTTTTGGTGGAAAAAAAAATATAACATTCCTGAAGCAGCCTTTGAACAGAAATCTAGTGATGTTTTCCCTAGTTAATTGACTGCTGCCACCACCTGGAAATCAATGGGGAAGGGGCATTTCTTTTCCAAGGGCTGTGGCCTGGCATCATGGGCTCTTTTCTTGTGTAGTGTCTTTCTCACCACCACACAATGTCCCCAGCACCCCTGAAGTACAGAAAACAATCAACCACAGTAATGTGCAAATTTCTTTATTACAGTGAGAGAGAATCTCAAGGAACAGATTATATATACAGATTTAGCAAATTAGAAGTTCACACCATCATGCTTGTCTCTCTCTTGGCTTTAATTAGATTTAAAGCATTAATTGATCTCTCTTAGGTTCTCCCTTAGTTTTCATTCCCCTTTTATCTATGGGCTGTGGGATTAGCCTGACACTTGGGGCTCACTGTTCATCCCTGTTGGTTTATCCTTCTACTTCCTAAACACAGACTACTTCTCAGCAACTTTTATTCTTAGCGAAGTTAGGTCCTTTTCTTTCTGGATCAGCCTCAAATCATTCTGTGGCTTCAGGTCAAAATTCTATGGAGCCACTAGACCCAACAATTTGACCTTAGTGTTTTCCTAGCAGAAATTCCCAAGAGTTCTTAGCTTTTTGTATGTCATGGATGCCTTTGGCAGTCCAAGGGGGCCTATGGACCCCCCTCTCAGAATAGTCTAAGTGCTTAAAATAAAATACATAGGAACACCAAGGAAACCAATTACCTTGAACTATCATCATCAAAATATGAAAAAAACAAGTTCAAAGACCACAAATTAAGAATCCCTTGCCCTACAGCCAGTGTGGTGCTGTGGAAGGAGTCATATAACTGGGTTCAAATCCTGGCTCTATGAGACTTTGGGCAAGTCACTTAATCTCTCTAGTCTTGTTTCCTCCTCTGTTAAATGAGATGGCTGGGTCTGATGAAAAGTAAGGGTAAGATTCCTTTTACCCCTAAATCTATGGTCCTCAGGATATTCTTTCCTCAGTTTCCTTGAGCTATGCCTTCCTCCTTGATCAGCACATCTTAGGCTCGTCCTCTCTAAGCTTTCTCTCTTCTCTTAACCTTTTAAAACTGCTTTTAAAGCTTCCATTGTGGCCTGTCCTACTTCTTTTGCTGCTGTCCCCATCCCTCTCAAATTGGGTTCTTTCTTTTTCCTTAACCTACCCTCTTTTTGACTCTTTCTCACTGGGGTCATCATCCAGAGCCTCAACTTTCTATCAGAGATTTCCCCCCACCCTACCTCACACCTCTAGACCCTCATCTCTGGATGTGACTGGATTCTTCTTAGACTAACAGTGTGACAACATCATTTCTATACTTAATCAAAACTTTGTTTTCTGTAACCAATGAGCCTAAGGGCATGCCTTCATAGACACAGTGAACCTCAGGAAGTCATTTTCCTAAAGTCCCATACCTTTCTCATCCCCAAGTTAGCTCTACTCCTGATACTGTGACTCAAGCAGAAGGTGGGAGCCAGTCTCATCCCCATTGTGAATGAGGCAAGTCTCTTCTGTTCAATGAGTTTAGGTAATAATTAGGACAATGTCCTGTTCCATATATTCAGTGATGGTACCCATCCACTATTAGCAGGAGGTGGGTTTGCCCCAAACCATCCATATTTTCATAGCTGGGAGATCTGTGCCCTAGTCCTGACCCCAGCCACTAATATGTGACTTGGGGCATCTTTTCAGTGAGTGGGATAATGATCCCATCCCTGCCTAACAAAGTTGTGGAAGACCAAGTGAGATGATAGATACAACAATGCTTGGAAAAGTAGAATACTCCTTGTCAACACAAGATGGTGGCGATGGTGGTCAGTGGTGGTGATGATGATGATGAATGACACACTTTTGAGAGACGTCTGGCTAGGGTAGAGGTAAGTTTGTTAGTTGTCTTTGGCCATGGAAGATAATTTGTGTGCGTGTGTGTGTGTGTGTGTGTGTGTGTGTGTGTGTATGTGTATGTGTGTGCAAAGTACTTTTTATTATCACCTCCCCTCACTAAAGCCTCCTCAACTCTGAGGCTGGGTGGGAAGAAGGGAAAAGCAGAGCTCTAACTAGCAATTTCTGTGCCTGGGGCAAGAGGTTGGGAAAGCTCACTTGGGATTCAAGCTGGAGGTTGGGGAAGGAAGCCTGTACTGGAGACACCAGAGTTTCTTAAATTATTTAAGTACTGGCTTCTGTTAAGAGGGGGGAAATGGACAGTGTTGCTACTGGCAATGTGATGTGGGCTAGGCATAAAGCTGCTAGGGAAATATGTGCTCCCTGAAACTCTAAGAGGTTTCTGTCATGGGGGAGGAAGAAGACCCTGGCATAAGCTTTCTGCTGATTGAGGAAAGGGGGAGAAGTACACCTTGGGATAAGTGCTGCCACATCCTTTTAATTTTCTGCCCTAGGACTAAGCTCTGATGTGGCCCCTCCCTTAGTTAGACCTCTGGGGAAAGGGCAAGGTAGTTCTGACCACAGATGGATAATTGGAGATCAACTAGCCTGTGATGTTGGGAGGAGAGCAGGGCCTAGGTGGCATGTTCTGGACCATACTGCCCAACAGGGAAGAGTAGCTCCCAGTTGGCCCTTTCTACCTGGAGCTGTCCTTTATTGCTCACCTTCAAGCGATGTATTTGGGTCATGCCAGCTGGTGTTTGTATCAGTGATGATGGAGGGGACAGGGAAGTACGGGCGCACCCCTCTAGCCAGGCACTTTATGGGAGATGTGTGTTTGTTTCCAGGAGAGATTAACTGGTATATACCGGCAGGAAAGCAAACGCTATAAAATGGAGCCCAATCAGGAAGGCTGAAGCTTAAGTCACTTTTCTTCCTGCCCTGGGAGCTATTAGGGAAATGTGAGGAGTGAGAGGGTCAGGTTACAAAGGGTCAGGTTATTGGCCCTAAAAGATTTCTTGGGACAATATTTTTCCCCCAGGGGCGATCCCTGAATCGTAGAATTGTAAGCCTCATGAAGGGAACTTTATAGCACTTAAGAATCCCTGTGCCCCTTGCTGAACAGTTTTGGCCTTCAGGGAGCTGTATGGATGAAGCAGTCCAGGAAGTACCTTAGCATTCTCAGTCTTAGGTACTGTTCTGGAAAATCCTTTTGGGAGTGGACTGTCAATGAACATTGGCTAGGGCACAGGACAAAGTATTAGTTATTGTGTGTGTGTGTGTGTTTCACCCACCCATTAGAAAAGAGAGAAAGGTACTGTGGTGTAGATTGAAAGTTAGCTTTAATTGGGCAGCTAGGTGGCTCAATGGATAGACCATCAGCCTTGGAATTAGGAGGACTTGAGTTCAAACTGACCTCAGACCCTTGCTAGCTGTGTGACTTAACTCCAATTGCCTCCACAAAAAACAAGTTCAAGTCCTGCTAATGACCCTACCCCTGATGTCACCCAACCTTCCCATTGCTCCAGGCAACTCTAAGATTCTAAACTGCACAGTAGGTGCTAAGCTGCATTGGTAGAGTGAGAGAGATAAAGAGAAATAGAGACAGAAACTAAGAAATGTCCTTAGCTCTGCTAAGCACAAACTCAACTGTTCTTGCAAGCCCTGGGTTTTCACTCACGCCAAGTTCTCCAAATCAGGGCCCTTGACAGCTCACGTACACACTCACTAAACCAATGCATAGCTACCAGTCACTTTAGAAACAGAAAAAAATCATCACTCTTATTCTGAATAAGCAAGTTGTCACAATATAGTACACTGATCTTATAGTACACAGACTCTAGACTGACAGGTGACTGGATGTGGGAGAGAAAACTGATTCTGGGAACCTGGGTAGAAGTGCTCAGATGAGGTACAGCACACAGAAGGTGATGGGATAACTCAACTATCTTCTCCTTTCAGTTACTGAATAGGAATAGAGGTCCTGCCTCCTATTGGGGGTACATAACAGCCTGGCAGGTAGAAAAGGGCTTCAGAGAATAGGGAATGAATGAGTGTCTTCCCACAGGGCCTTCTAGGTCCTGGCCTGGGTACTTCTAATCTAGGGATGAGTCTTTCATGACAGGATGGCTCACTGGCCAGGGCTGTTTGACAGGGCAGGACACTGAGGTTATGCTAAAGCATAGGATTAGGGTCTAGATTACTTTGCTCTTCTCCAGATCTGAGCTCACATGGAATGTCAGGGTCGGAAGTCTGATTGTGATGATGTCATAGAAAGAACAATGGATTAGGAGTCAGGAGGACCCGACTCCAAATTCTAGCCAAGCCATTTACTACTTTTATGGCCTCAGGCATTACTTAACTTCCCAAGGTCTCAGTTTCCTCATCTGTAAAATGAGATGGTTGGACTAGATGGCCTTTAAAGATGCTTCTAGTTCTAAATCTATGATCCCATCAATTCCTTGACTCCTCAGAGCCAGGTGCTATTCCTCTAGAGGTCAGGAGGCTTCTATAAAATGATCACTCTCTCACATTCCCTCAGATCAGCATGGATTTCAGCCTAGTTTGGGGACCAGTGAAATGGAACAAAGGAAGAAGGCAGTGAATGAATAGAGAGCTGGTGAATTCTAGGCTGTGCAGCAGGGTAAAGACATTCAGGGAATGACCATGGGCCTGGTCTTCTGTCTAGCCAGAGGGAAGACTGTAAGCAGAGTGAAAAAGTGCCAAGTGGAACATGTGAAATTGTTTTCTTCTTTTTCCATTACTATGGCCTCACCCACTATCCACAGGATATTGCAAGATAAAGCCAAGAGATTAGATGGCATCCCCTTCACTATCTGACTCAATGACATCAAGGGGCTGTAGGCGCAGGGAATCATAGTTGGGAGGTGGAGTGCCGGGGATGGGCAGGTTCTGGTCATCTGGGTAGTCCTCGGGTACAGGAGGAGGGTTGCTGTTATTTTCGGTGTCGTGCTGGAAGCCAAAGTTGGTGTGGGCCTCCACTAGCTCCGCCACTGTGGGTGGTGGACCCTCATAGCGGGCTTGGGCCCGCCGCTGCTTCAGACCCTTGGCCCAGGCCACCAGCTTGATGATGGTAATCCATATACAGTCAATGATGATCTCCCCAAACTCGATGATGCACAGTACTGAGCCGCCCATCCAGAACCCAAACTGGCCACCCAGATTGGAGAGTAACCATACCACCTGGAGGAGAAGATGTGGCCTGAAGATAAAGGCTCCATAGAACCCCACTGGAGCCTAAGAACACTTTGGGATCATTGCCAAACGTTAGTGGTGTCTCTCTACCCCACAACTCCCACTGGACAGGGCCTGGCAGAGGCTTAGAGCAAGATGTTTTGTGGGTCCCTGGGGAGAAGTGTATAAGGGAGAGAAAGAAGGGCCAGGACTGCTTAATGGCCCGATGTGGCTCAGAGAATGGTCTACAGGTGATTTCTAGACTATATCCTTGTCCCTTTTTAGGCCCAAGTCTAACGTATACCTTTCTTCTCCTTACAAACTCAGTATCTGGGTAGCAGTTTGAGTAGCAGAAAGAGCTTTGGCTTTCAAAGGACTAGGTTTGAACTCTGTGTGTGCTTACTGAAGTCATTTAACTTCTCCGGGACTCAGTTTCCCCATCCGTAAAACGATGGGATCAGACTATGTGGTCCTAACTCATAGACTGGAGTCCAATCAGGAAGGCTGAAGCTTACGTCACTTTTCTTCCTGTCCTGGGAGCTATTAAGGAAATGTGAGGAGTGAGAGGGTCAGGTTACAAAGGGTCAGGTTATTGTCCCTAAAAGATTTCTTGGGAAAATAATAGTCTGGCAGGTGGAGGGGGCGTCCATGACTATGATCCCTTAGGGGCATCAGGGTCTCTTGACTCCCCACAAATCAAGAAATCTGAAGCTGGGGGGAGGGAAGGGAAGTGTTTTACGGCTTTACAACTCACATTGTTTGCTGCTGACTCAGCGAAAGTCCGGAAGTTGAATTCTTGGAAGTAAATATTGAGCTTGACAATTCCTTTCCTGTGGATAAGAGAGAGATCATGGCTACTAAGTGGTCTCAGGCCACAAGCTTGGTAAGAGACTAGGTTGAAAGACCTTTCCCTTTAGATAAGGTTTAGATAGTCAAGTCCCATATAGAAAGGAGGATGAGGGTGGTATTGGTTGGGGAAGGGGCTAAAAAAGGAAGAAAGATGCTGAGGCCCTCCCTTAACTGCCATAGTGTGCTCCTCCCAGTCTGCTCTATGCCCAGCAGGGAGGTGTGATGTTGTGCCCATCGAGGATAACAAGCATGTTGCCTCTGCCCATCCCTGGAGCCTTAGGCATCATACACCTTTCTTCCTTGCCTTGATTTCATGTCTGAAACATAAACCTTCTCTTACTGGTACCACTTCCTGGATGACATACATCTTCCCAGCCTCTTTTTGGACCTCCCTACAGCCCAAAGTTGTCTTTTTTTTTATCCTTTGGAACTCATGGAGCTGTGTTGGAGGAGAAATCAGCCTCGAACCAATTTAATCAAATCAGCTGTGGATTCTAGGGTTTGATTTCAACTTTAATCGGATCTTTCATCTGGGATAGGAAACAGTGATTATGGCCTTACCCTAATTCAGGAACAGGGATAGGGAACAGCCTCTTCATAATCTTGGGACAGGGAGTGATGGACCTACCAGACATTCTCCCATAGATGTGCAAGAGTTGTAGTGTCAGAAATACCAACAGATAACTGAGGGTGACAAACTACAAAACCCTTCTTTCATGCTTGTATCACACAGTGCAGAGGCCTGTGGTGGCTCTTTTGATGGGACCAGACTCAGTTCTTGGCTTCCTGACAATGCTGAGGTTCTGCAGAAGGCCCAGCTCTAGCAATGATCAGTGTCTAAAAAGGAGGCTGGTCCCTAAAGCGCCTTTAAGAGCTGACTCTTGGCCTCTGACCAAATTAACCTTGGTCGCTCCCTCTTCAATTACTTATTGTGCTGAGCCCTTTTCTGAGGATCCAGTGTTCTCAGGCTGCCTCCTAGAGGTCTATGGTCTTCCACTGAGGCCTACCCACCTGTGATCTATAGCTGTTCCATGGCCCCCACACTCAAAATTCCATCCAAGGTAATATCCTAGCTATTGTGATGACCTAACCCTTGCTATTGTGTTATAGCACAATCCCCTTCACACATATGTATTTTAAAGGGAGTTTCCTGGAGACACTGCCTTAATGCAAAAGAATCATTCTAACAGAAGGAATTTTAGGTAATGAAGAAAGGTCAGGAGAGGAGATATTTCCAGGCAGATACCTTTAAGTAACACTTTGCCTTGAAGCTCCTTCCTTCAGGAGTTTCAAAGATCCTAGGATTCCTCCCTGAAAGTAAGAGTCCTTACCTGTCTATGGTCAGGTTGGTGGTTTTATCACGTTCGTAAGACAACACATGGAAAATCCAGTCCTGAAACCAAAGACAGCATGACTCCTCTCAAACTCAAAGTGCTTCCAAGAATATTTACAGTGGCTGGGGTGTATAGAGCCCCTGACACAGGCCTTTTAATATTCAGTTGACAAGCATTTAATTAAGTGCTTACTATGTGCCAACCACTGTGCTAAGCAATGGGGATACAGAAAGAGGCAAAAATAAAGTTCCTGCCCTCAAGGAGCTTACATTTTAATGAGGGAGACCATGTCAACAACTGGGTAGATAAAAGACATATACAGAGTAGATGGAAGATAATATGGAAGGGAAAGGCAGTAGTAGCTGGGAGGCACTAGGAAAGTCTTTGTGGAGTAGGTGGGATTTGAACTTCAACTTGAAGGAAGTCAGGAAAACAGAGATGGAGATGTAAGGGAGTAAAGTATTACAAGTCTTGTTGCTGCTGTTCAGTCATGACTGAATCTTTGTGATCCCATATCACACTAATACTGTCCATGGGGTTTTCTTGGCAAAGATACTGGAATGGTTTGCCATTTCCTTCTCCAGTGGATTAAGGCAAACAGAGGGTAAGTGACTTGCCCAGGGTCACACAGCTAGTAAGTGTCTGAGGCTGTATTTGAACTCAGGTCTTCCTGACTCCAGGGCCAGTGCTCTATCCATCGAGCCACTTAGCTGCCTCCAATTTCAGGTCTAGGGAACTTTAATGAGGGGTATGCTCAGCAAGAGAAATGATATGAGATCACCCAGCTATCAAGTCATGAAGAGTTATATCTCTATCTACTCCTCCTTATTTCTTTTTTTTTTTTTTTTTTTGCTTTTTTGGTGAGGCAATCGGGGTTAAGTGACTTGCCCAGGGTCACATAGCTAGTAAGTGTCAAGTGTCTTGAGGTCACATTTGAACTCAGGTCCTCCTGACCCCAAGGCCGGAGTTTTATCCACTGTGCCACCTAGCTACCCCTCCTTATTTCTTGTCTGAGATGATTAAGGGGACCAGATGAGAGCTGTTTAACCCATTGATGGGCAGATGCATCAACATGTCCCAATAATTTCCACTGTGTGTGTGAATATATGAAGGTAGAAAAAGAAAAAGAGAACAAAAGATAGCATGAATAAAAGAGAGAGAAGAAAGAGAAACACGCACTAAACGATCTTCCCCCTTGAGCCTTTCCCCATCTTTTGACTTCTGTGGTTTTCTCCCTTAAAAACAAAACAAAACAAAATAAAACCAAAAACAAATCTCAGCTTCTCTAAAAGGCCTATCATTCATTGCTTTATTCAAACCTTTCTTGAAGAGCATCACTATCACTTATAAATCAGTAGACACTAAGAAGGTTAAGTGATACCCTAGGGGCCAGTGAGAGGGGCAGCCAGAGTCAGACCAGAGCCTAACAAATCTAATTCCTTTACCTCAGAGGCCTCAGATGGCCAGTCAGCCATGGAGATAGTCATCTTGTACTGTGTATCACTGGAAGAAACAAGGGCACTGGTGAAGTCAGGAAGCTTTCTCCAATCCTTCCCCCTTCCTCCAGTCAATAATGTTTCCATGTCCCCCCACGCCCTCTAACTCAGTCCTCAGACAACACTTTGTTTATACTTCTTTTATGCATTTGCAATGTATTATTTGTAATTATAATTATTTGTGAATGTTCCCTTTTACTAGACTATAAGCTCCATGAGGGCAGGGACTATTATCTAAATTTTATATTTCTCCTAGCACCTCATACCATCCTCTGCACACAGTAGGCACAAAATAAATGCTTGTTGAATGGAATTTCCAAGTTAGATGCTTCCTGTCCTTTCGTTAACATAGGAATGGAGTCATTTCCAAGTCTTGCCCCCTCCTCTCACACTGATACCCTTCCCTTCCAGTACTCACTTGCAGGACTCCTTACACAGGCTGATGCAGTTTTCTCTCTGGAGCACACTCATGCGGAGGGCCGAGTAGCAGTATGCTGTTTGATACAAACCAAATGGATTGTTGAGTAATGAGGGAGAAACGGGGAGGACTTAGGACTACCTCCCACAGAAAGCCTTTCCTGATCTCCCCAAAGGGGTGGGGAATACCTGCGGACTTGAGGCCATATGTGGCCCTCTAGGTCCTCAAGTGCAGCCCTTTGAATCCAAACTTCACAGAACAAATCTTCTTAATAAAAGGATTTGTTCTGTAAAATTTAGACTCAGTCAAAAGGCCCCACCCAAGGACCTAGAAGGCCACATGTGGCTTCGAGCCCACAGGTTCTTCACCCCTGTACTAGGCTCTTCCTTCCTTAAATCCCTTGTGTTTGTTTTGATTTTATTCTGTATATGTGGGCATGTATTACATGCATATACATGCATACACACACACACACACACACACACACACACACACAGAGGATTTCTTTCTTTTTTGTCTTTGTAGCCCCAGTGCTTTGCTCTACCATGCCTGGAACATAGTAGGCACTTAATAATTTTGTGCTAATGGATGGACTGATGGGAAGGATTGGGCAGAGGGACTGACAGGTGGTTAACACTGAACTGAAGAACCTAGCATGGGCTAAATATTCCCTGCCTGGACATTTGGTGGCAAGGCAGTGAGCTGAAGTCTGCCTTGAACCATTTTGAAAGCCAGGAGCGTGAATGTCAAATCCCAAAAGATCAAGGCCATCAGGACTCCATATCCTTCACATTGCCCAACACAGGTCCCTGATGAATAATAGTTGTTAGCATGATAGCTATCAATTTATATGGCTCTTTAAAGTTTGCAAAGCATATTTAAAAGTGTCCCATTTTATCCTTGCAACAACCCTGCCAGGTAGGTGCTGTTATTATCCCCATTTTATAGAAGGGGATACTGAGGCCAACAGAGGTGAAGCAACTTGCCCAGAGTCACACAGCTAGTAAGTGTCTGAGGCTGGATTTGAACTCAGGTCCTCCAGGAATGATACTTTGAATTAAAATTGAAATTGGTTAAAGTACCTCCCTTGGACACCTTGGTAGCTGGTTGTTACTTAATGAAGATCTTTTTTTTTTTCCTGAGGCAATTGGGGTTAAGTGACTTGTCCAAAGTCACACAGCTAGTAATTGTTACATGTGTCTGAGGCCGGATTTGAACTTAATGAAGATCTTTAAACCTCAGCTAGATACCTTGTGGGAGACTAATAATAAGTGACATTTATATAGCGCTTTAAAGTTTACAGTGAGCCTCACAGTCAGTCTGTGAGGTAGATACCATTACCCCCATTTTACAGATGAGGAGATAGGCTCATTTTCTCGCCCAAGGTCACACAGCTAGCTACTGTGAGATTTAAACCCAGGTCTTCAGGACTCCAAATTATCACCCATGCTTCTTAGATAACTCCCAGTGACAACAGTTTTAAGACTAGGAAGGAGGCTGTTATTTACAATATGAGAAATCTAGGCTGGGTCCTGGGGGTGGGGCAGGATCCAGCTTAAACTAGTTTGCTGATTCCAATACAGAATGTCCTTACAACCAGTTGCTTTCCCCAAAAAGGGTCCAGGGCTACCCAGAGCCAGATTAAACTGGTTTTAGAAATGGACTGAGTTCAATTACCATTTAACCTGATACCTTTGACAATTTGTTTTGGTCAGGGATGGACAATCTGAAATTTACATCACTGGAAGTAATAACCATATAGATGGGTTCATAAATACAATGGAATATTATCTATGGCATGGAGGCCCCCCCCCCAATAACACAGCCACATAGAAATTCATTGCTTCTTTCCCTTGGGATATTTATTTGTTAGATTCTGTCCTGGAAATACAGGTAAAATCTGATTACTAGATAAAGGAGCTTCACCACAATCTGGTGAGAACTAATCTTCTGAATCTTGCCTATAGCCTTGGCAATAAAAGAAAGGCATTAAAGGTAAAAGGTAATAAGTATCAGAGATGGAAGTTGAATTCGAGTCTTTCTTACTTCTCTTTATTCATTTTGTAAGTTCTTCTGTAAGGAGGCTGGGTCAAAATGTCTTATTCACTTCTGTAGCCTCCATATTGCACATATTTGCACAGTGCAAATAGTACATGTATTTTGAATTGACTTGAAACTGAATTGAACTGGAGCTCCAATTTGATCAATTTGCATCAACATAAGGACCTCCTTCACTAATTAAGGACATGGAAGCCTCTGAGACCCAGTTGCTACTTAAGTGGGAGTGGGTGGCATGGGCGAGTGGGGGGTTGGGGAGGTCTATAAACACCAGGTCTAGAGGTATCATCTAGGGTTCAAACACTCACCCCAGTCAGGAAAGTCTTGGTTATTGCAGTATTTCTTCCCTTCAGGAAGCGGGTATAGGTAGTGACCACAGTTGCAGTTCTGAATCATGTGTTCTTGGAAGCAGGATCGAAGGCAGGCCTAAGGAAGGGGACAAGGATGGGGATGAAGGCCAACCATTCCTCCCTGAGGTGAGCTCTGTTCAGGAGAAAGCCTTCCTGTACCCTGATTTCAGAAACAGCCCTTCTGGTGGGGCTCCTCTTAACTTATCAGCCTTTCTACACCTATTCCCAATACGTTTGGGTCTTCATTGTGCCCTGCCATTTCCTCCTAACTGGTCTCTCTGCATCTCATCTCTACAGCTCCCATTCCGTCCTCCATATTGCTGTCAGGCTAATTTTACTATGCACAGGCAGGACCACATCATGCTCTCGTTCATTCTAAAACAAAGGTTCTTAACTTAGGTATGTCAACATTTCTGTTTCTCTCTTAAAATATTTTAATAACTGAATTTCAATATAATTGGTTTCCTTGGTAATCCTATGTGCTGTATTTTATGTATTTAAAAATATTACTTTGGGGGCAGCTAGGTGGCAAAATGGATACAGTACCGACCCTAGAGTCAGGAGGACCTAAGTCCAAATCCGGCCTCAGACATTAGACCCTAGGCAAGTCACTTAAGCCCAATTGCCTCACCAAAAAAAAAACCAAAAACAAAACAAAAACAACCCCGCCCCAAAACAAAAAAAAAAACATTACTTTGCCCATCAATTGGGGAATGGCTAAAAAAAAAAATTATGGCATATGAATATAATGGAATACTATTGCTCTGTAAGAAATGGTGAAGGGGATGGTTTCTGAGAAGCCAAAAAAGGTTTATATGGACTGATTCAAAGTGAAGAGAAAACAATTTACACTATAACAACACCATAAAAACAACTTTAAAAGATTCTGATCAGTGCAATGATCAACCAATATTCCAAAGGACCAATGGCACACAACACTACTTACCTCCTGACAGAGAGGTGATGGACTCAGGGGGCAGAATAAGGCATCTATTTTTGGACATGGCCAATGTGGGTTTTGTTTTTTCTTTTTTTGTCTTGACTATGCATATCTGTTACAAGGTGATTTTTTTTTCTTTTTTCTTAGTTTTTCCCCCACTGGGTGAAAAGGAAGATTGGAGGGAGATAAAGTAAATGCTAGTTCATTGAAAAATTTTTTAAAAAACATTCTGAAAATGGATCCATAGACTTTACGATGCTTCCAGAAAGGTCTGTGACACACAAAAAGGTTAAGAACACTTACTCTAAAACCTTCAATGGCCCCTATCTCTTAGGAAAGAATAAAAACTTTCAGTTTAGCATTCAAGGCCCTTTACAATATGACTCTGATTTCCAGACTTACCCCTTTTGCTTACTTAGCATTCTAGTCAAATGGGATAGCCAATTGGTTGTCTCGATGGTAGATGGGGGACCCAAATTCTTACAGTCCAGAAAGATAGATCCGTAGACAGAAGAGCAATAATGGTACATATGAGAAAACGATTCTTATCAATCTGCCTTTTCTTACCATCTCCACGCCTTTGTATACCTTGTGCCCCATGCCTGGAATGATCTCCTCCTACAATTCTACCTTTTGAACTTCTTTCTTTCCTTCAAAGTCCAGCTGAGGTACCACCTCCTTCATGAAGGTGAAGGTGAAGTAATTCTCTGATTACCTCAGCTAGAAGTGATCTTTTCTCTTTCAAATCTTTCATACTACTCTTATGTACTTATATTATAACTTACACTAGAGGTATCCATTTTATTTCACGGTTCTCCCAACTAGAATGTAGAACATGAGTACTTTGAGGGCTTTTGATTGTTTCTATTTTTGCATCACCATTGTTTAGTACAGTACCCTATACATTTATCTTTTGGGGGACTGGACCAGTGATTTCATTGAGGAATTCCCTCTATTAATTAGGCATTTGCTATTCAACTTACAGTCTTAAAGAGTTGTCTAGAAACCTCAAGAGTGTACTTCTCCAAAGTCATAGTGTCAGATGCGGGACTCGATCCCAGGGCTTTCTGATTCTGAGGCCAGCTCACTACATCGGTGTTTAATACATATTTGTAAAATTGAGTTGAGAAGGTATTTTAGCTGTCTTTACCTTGGACATTGGGCGCTGACCCAATGAGTAACCTTCTGGTTGGACCTGTTGGGCTGGCTGAGTGAGACATACTGCACTGCTTAGGTGGGAATAACCTTTAGGCTTTGTTTTCTGTCTCTGTGACCCTTTTCTCAAAAATAATCTCCAACTGACCCTGACGTCATAACCATCAGGATGCGGCACCTTTCTTCCCAGAGAGAGAATACAATTACTAATTTTCTGAATCTTGCCTATGACCTTGGCAATAAAAACAATGAAATAGTCCCTGCCCACCAGACAAGCAGAGAAGATGGGAGGGAGGGGAGAAGGGAAAGAGGCAGATAGTTGAGAAGCAGAGAAACTTGTCCGAGGTTATGGAACAATCTGAGTCAGCATTAAGGACTAATATTCAGTCCTCCTGCCTCCTAGACCAGCACCCTTATCAGAATAGGAGCAGATCTGGGAGATAATGAATGGTTGGGAACATGACTTGAACCCAAATTCTCTGGCTCCAGAGTCAGTGTTCTTTCTAATGTAACAAAATGTTGCTCACCAAGTGAGTAGTTGAAGAATATTTCTACTATTTTAGGCCTAAACTGCAAAGCCCAGGTGGGAGTCAACTATATCTCCTTTCCCAATGAGGTCATATTTCTCCCTGGAGTCTGCAAGTGGTGACTATGGATAACTAGAAGGATCCACCCATTTTTGAACCTGGAGCCTTGTATATCTCTGGCTCTGGGGAAGGCTCCTTGGGGTACTTGGCCCTTTGGAAATGGGCCTGCTCACCCTAGGGAAAAGATCTCAAGGTTTTGGGGGCAGCAGCATAGTATACAGGGAGTCCAGGACAGAGAAGGATTGGGCTAATCTAAGAATGCTGTAGACATGCTGAGCATTGAAAAACTCAAGATGAAGCCCAGAAAGGTGGAGTCTTAGCCTGTGCTTTAAAACTAACCCATCATCAAGTTCTAGAGGAATCTGTCTTGAACTAGGAGTTTCATTTTTTACCTTCAAACAACTAAGTCTTTAATGAACAAAATACTCCCCTGAACTATTATAGTAGTCTCCTAACTACAGTATTTTTTTTCCCCTTCCAATCCACCCTATAAACAAAAAGCAAGATAATTTTTCTTGGATAACATAGTGGAAAGAACATTGGACTTGGAGCCAGAAGACCTAGGTTTGAGTCCTCTCTTCACCACTTAATAGTTGTGTAAACTCTGGCAAGAGTATGTGTGTGTGCATGTGTATGTGTGTGCGTGTACATATATGTATACAAGAGTATATATATCACCTACCTAAGCCTCAGTTTACTCACCTGGAAAATGGAGATAAGAATACTTGTACCCACTTCCCAGGGTATTTATGAGGAGAGGGCTTTACAAACTGTAAAGCGCTTTATAAATGTAGACTGTTCTCAGCATGGGCTCCAGTGGCATGTGTCTGTTAGCTGAGGACTAGCCTTAAGTTCAGAGATTTTCATTATTGTGGGGAGTATGGTTACTGGATGACAAATTATTTGGTCATAGCAATGAGTGAAAATCA